CAGATATGTTAGAGATGTCACATTGATTTAAATATCCCACATATCCCCAGAGTTAATGAACATTATTAACATCACTATTAACCTACTGACATTTCACAGGCCATTGAATACCATTTAAATACAATAAGATTAGCTCTATCAATATTCAGTGAAAAGCTGTTTGAATTCAACCAGGCCAAAACCATGTTAATTAAAATATTTTATTTTTATTTTGTTGTTATTAGGTGCCATAGAGTCATTCCAACTCCTAGCGAAACTTCATCAAGTTTCCGGGACTTTTAATCTTTACTGCAGCCCAAAGCCTCCTCTTTCTCCCATTGTTGTTGTTGTTGTTAAGTTCCATCGAGTCGTTTCAGACCCATAGCGATCCTGTATAGGGTTTCTGAGGAGCCGCTGGTGAGCTTGAACTGCCGACCTTGCAATTCAAACATCTTTGTAGTCTGGCACATTAATCCACAGTGCCACACCAGGACTCCCTTTCACCCATCACCCTTCATTATCATTGTTGTGGTTAAGTACCATTGAGTCATTTCGGATTCATAGCGACCCTGTGTAAGTTTTCCAAGAAGCAGTGGGTAGGTTTGAGCCACCGATCTTGCAGTTAACATTCTAGTGGTTATCCCACACCACCACACCAGGACTCCATTACCCAATATACATGTGCCAAGAAAATGCCTTGTTGTTGTCACTAGCTGCCGGTGAATGTGCTGACTCATGGTGACCCATGTACAAGAGAATGACATGCTGCCCAGTCCTAACCCATCTTCAGAGTCACTGAGATGTTCAAGTCCACTGTTGGAGCCACTGTGTATTTTGGATGCCTTCCCACCTATGGGGCTCATATTCCAGCACTATATTGGACAATCATTGGCTAATTTGGGGGAGTAAATTGCCAGGTCTTTCTTCCCAGTCTGTCTGAGTATGAATGTTCTGCTGACACCTGTCTGCCATGGGTGAGCCTGCTGGTGTTTGAAATATTAGTAACATACTTTCCAGCATCACAACAACAAGCAGCCATCACAGTATGACAAACTGACAAGTTTTTGCTGTTGTTAAATGCCATCAAGTCATTTCTGACTCTTAGCAACCCTTGTAGGGTTTCCAAGGAACGACTGGTGAGTTTGAACCACCAACCTTGTGGTTCAAACCAACTTTGCAGTCAGGTGCATTATCCTGCAGCACCACACCAGAAGAGACGAATGGTAGATATTATATCTTACCCTTTTAAATATGTGCTCACATGCCTTTTATCAGTTGATCATCCTAACAGAGCTGTAAGGTGGACGAGGCAAATCAGATGAGCCTCATTTCCAGGGATGAGAAGCAATTATAAAGAGCCAGCAAGGAGTTTGGAAGGATAAGCACAGTAGATAAGGTCTCTATCAGTGAGGAAGAAACAAAACAAAAAATATTACCATAGAGATAAATTCTGGCTTGTGGCAACCCTGTGTATTACAGAGTCAAACTCCTCCCACAGATTTTCTTGGTTATACTCTTTATGGAAGCAGATCAGCAGACCTTTCTTTTGTGGAACTGCTGGGTAGATTTGACCTCCAGTCTTTAGGTTAGCAACCATTCACAATCTACTTATACCACTAGGGCTCCTTCTAATAGAGAGCTGCCATAGCCAAAGGCACTGATATACATTTCCCCTTAGTTCAATGTGTGAGGGACACAGAAAGAAAGGGAGACAAAGAGAGAGGAGATTATCAATTATTATAATTGATTGATTATTCAATCAATTCCATCTGCCACCTGGAAAACCAGCAGAACAGTGGCCTTCAATGGGTTTACCTTGCCCATCGTTGCCCCTAAACATCGTTGTTAATGTTGAAAATATGTCAGAAATCATGTTTCATTCTCAGCCCATCACTGCTGCCAAAGCAAACAATAAAAATAAAGTAAAAGAAAATACAGACTAAACAGAAAAACCTGATAGATAATCAAAAAAAAGATAAATGCTGCTAGAATTTTTAAATCCTCCTATAAGACAGTAGCCATAGCTCTTACCACACCCTGAGGCAGCCTGGGCTGCTCATGGTGCCCCTGCCAAGCTGTCAAGACAGTCAAAGAATCGTCTTTTGCTTTTCTTCGCACTAAAAGTTAGATGTAGACTAATGGGGGAGCTGTGAGAACAAATGAAGTAGCTGATTTACTCTAAGCTGGATTTGGGTGCTGCTGGCTCAGTAGTTCTCAACATGGCCCAGGACCCGCAGCATCAGTATCACCTGGGAACTTGTTAGAAATGCTCATTTTTAGGGTCCACCCAGATGTACTGAGTCAGAAACTTTGGTGAGGGAACCGGGTAATAAGATGATTCTGATGTATAATGACATTTGGGGACCACTGTTAGATCAAAGTCTTATCAACGGCATTGTCCTCGTTGCAAGTGAAGAATTCTGCATTGTTGCTTGATGTATTCATAGCGTGAGTGTCACCACCCCCCACTTCACCCCCATCCATCCCTCCTGGTCACCTTCCCCACCCCTCACCTACTGGGTACCTAATAGAGGCCAGGTTTCTTCCTTCTATAGAGTACGTCTCTAAGCAAAGATGGCAGCCATCAAGCTAGGCCCAATTGATTGTGATGTTCTTAATCACATTCATAGCTTCCTAGGAGACAGCTGAAGAGGCAGGCATGGGGAGTGTTACCAAAACCAAAATCTGGTGCCATCAAGTCAATTCTGACTCACAACCATCGCATAGGTCAGAGTAAAACTGTCCCATAGAGTTTCCAAAGCTGTAGTCTTTGCGGAAGCTGATTGCTACATCTTCTACTGTGGAACAGCAATCCAGCATTAAATCACTGCATCACCAGGGCTCCTAAGGGGAACATAAACCCAAAACCAAACCATTGCCTGAACTCATAGCAAAACCCTTAGGGCAAAGTAGAACTGCTCCTTAGGTTTCCCAAGGCTGCGTGCGAATCTTTACAGGAACAAGCAGCCTCATCTTTCTCCCTCAGAGTGACTGGTGAATTTTAACACTGAACTTGTGGTTTAGTAGCCCATTGCTTACTCAACAACACCTCCGAGCTTCCATAAGGAGCATAAAACCCACTGCCACTGAGTCGATTCTGACTCATAGTGACCTTCTATGGGGTTTGGGAGACTGTAAACCTCTATAGGAACAGACAACCTTAGCTTTCTCTTTCAGAGTAAGGTGTTACTAAGTGCCATGGAGTTGGTTCCAACTCATAGCAACCTGGAGAGGGCTTCTAAGGAGTAGCTGGTGGGTTTGAACTGCCAACTACTTTGTGGTTCGTAGTCCAGTGCTAATCTTACAGTGCCATACCAAAGTCAACCTTGTAGTTAGCAGCCTAATGCTTAACTCACAGTGCCACTAGGGCACCACCGACTCATAGTGACCCTATATAGGGTTTCCATGAATCTTTATGGGAGCAGAAAGTCTCATTTTCCCTGGGGAGCATATTCCCTGCTATGAAACGGTTTTTACAGTGTTATAAATGTAGCTATCACACAACCTTTGCCTGTTCACCTTTCTGCAGGTGTGAACCTTGTGAACAACAATTGCTTCAGCTGTACAGTCTTACCCTTGATAGTGTGATTTTTTTTTTTTTTTTTTAATCTCCAAGGACCCAGACTCAGTTTTTTCATGGGCTGTGAATCCCATTTCCCTGCCGTTCACCTCTGGTAGCCACCTCGATCTCTATTTAAAAAAAAAAAAAAAAATTACAGGCAGTATAAGGCTTAACATGGGAGTCAGAAAATGCTGTGCTCCAGGGAAATTTTCTGTGTGGTAGAAAGAGCATGAATGTGGAGCCAAGAGACTTCAATTCCAGTCCTGGCTCCCTGACTTCAACCTTTCTGAGCCCATGTTTGCTCATCTGTAAATCAGTATGGTGGGAGGAGTGCCTGAGGTCATTCACACAAAGGGGCTGACTCACTTGTAGGCCACAGGTTGTTGTTGTTGTTGTTGTTAAGTGCTGTCAAGTTGGTTCTGACCCATAGAGACCCTGTATAGGTTTTCCAAGGAGCAGCTGGGGAGCTTGAATTGCCAACCTTGTGGTTCAATCCGACTTTGCAGTCCAGTGCATTAGCCCACAGCGCCACACCAGGACTCCAGCCCACAGGTAAATGGAGGTTATTATTATCCAGTGGCAGGAAAGGCCCTTAGAGAGGAATGCTCCCCACAGGAAGACCGTTACAACAGGAAATACATGGAGAGAGGCTGCATCATAGAGGTCACTGAATGCAAGGCCAAAGAACTAAGGGGCTTCAGTAGACATCAGAGCCACAGCCCTGAGCTGCTCTTGTTAAAATGCTCATTCTGATACATTGGATCTGAGATTTTGCATTTTTAATAATTTCCCTCAGGACACTCAGGCTGCTCCACACCTTTTCAGCAGCAAGACCATGAGTTCTTCTTCAGAAAGCAAATGGCAAAGTGTCCTGGTGACGATGAACCTTAGTAAAGCACCCACTCTACCCTGAGGTTTGCCAACGTCGCACAATTCCGTTTCCTGTAAGGTGGCTCAGAGCTCTTCCCCCTCAGTCTACTGAGACCACCTCAAACTGGAGTCTGTAGAGCAGAAAGGAGCTTGGGGCTCCAGGAGGTGGGCCAGAAGGAAGTCTGGATATACAGCATTGTCAGCCCCCAAGCCCCCAACTCAGCCTCATCATCGTCCACAGTGTCTACATCCCCACACAAACAGACAAATATGCAGGGCTCAGGAGCTGCCATTCCAGAGCACCTAAAATTGCCATCCCCTGGCATAAGTGCCGTTCAGCAGTAGAAGCCAAACTCCTGAATTTTCTGTGTGTCTCTGTCTCTCCAACAATCCTGTGAGCATAACCCTGGGGGCCTATTAAAGTAACGGCCATGACATGTGTCTTTGCTTGGAAAAGCAAATGGGTAAATGATGTGACAACTCTACAGTAAGTCAACTCAAAAGACACTTTCTGCCACATGAGAGCTGTAATAAGTAAAGATCCCCTCACAATGTTTTCATCTAAATCTTCCTTATTTCCCTTCCTTAGCCTGAAGATATTGGACAAGCACCAATAGTAAATGCCCCAGAAGGTGGAAAGGTTGACTTGGAAGCCTTCAGCCATTTTACAAAAATCATCACACCAGCAATTACCAGAGTGGTGGATTTTGCCAAAAAGTTGCCTATGTTTTGTGAGGTGAGGATATTGTTTTTTTTCTTTTGTGTTATTTTTCACTATAGTTCTACCAGGTTCCAGGAGTGCTGGATACTATTTATAATTTAATATTAATTGTTGGTGGTGTTATTAAGTGCTGGATTTAATCAGATGAAAGCAATGTCAGTATAAAATGAAAATGCACTTATTTAATTTTTGTTTTCCCATTTTATCTGTTCAGCCATCATTCATTAGCTGGTCCACGTGAGATCAGTCAAGATACGCTACATCCTCCCAACTCTAATGGTGGTGGTGGTGGTGGTGGTGATGTGCCGTGGAGAAGGTTCCAACTCATACCAACCCTGCATAGGATTTTTGGGGCTGTAATTCTTTACAGGAGCAGAAAGCCTCATCTTTCTTTTGTGGGAACAGCTGGTAGTTTTGAACTGCTGATCTTGGGGTTAGCAGTCAGACTTGTAACCACTATGCTACCAGAGCTCCTTAATAATAGAAAGAACTTCTATTTATTCAGCAGCTACTGTACCATAGCTACCACAGTTAATGTTGCCCATATAAAATCCAATCTTTTAACGCATCTTCAGGTAGCTGCTGTTGTAGACGTTGTAAGGTGCCGTCAAGTCACTTCTGACTCGTGGCAATCCTATGTACAATAGAAGGAATCTTTGCCCAGTTCTGTGTCATCTACAAATCTTTGCTCTGCTTGAGCCCATTGTTGTAGCCACTGTATCAGTCCATCTCACTGAGGGTCTTCCTGTTTTTCACTGCCCTCTACTAAATATGATGTCCTTCTCCCTGATGCTAGGTGCAAAGTACATGAGATGAAACCTCACCATCCCTACCTCTTAGGGGCATTCTGAGTGTACTCCTTCTACAGCAGGTTTGTTTGTTCTTTTGGCAGTTCATAGTATATTCAGTATTCTTCAACACCATAATTCAAAGGCATCAATTCTTCTCCATTTTCCTTATTCATTGTCCAGCCTTTAAGTGCATATATGGCAGCAGATTTGCCTAGTGCCACATGGTATTTCATTTCTTGATGGCTACTTCCATGGGTGTTGATTACAGATCCAAGTAAAATGAGATCTTTGTCAACTTCTACATTTTGTTCATTTATCATGATGTTGCATAATGGTCCACTTTTGAGGATTTTTGTTTTCTTTATGTTAAGGTGTAATCCATATTGAAGGCTGTATGCAGTCTTTGATCTTCATCAGTAAATGCTCTAAGTCCTCGTCACTTCCAGCAAGCAAGATTGTGTCATCTGCATGTCAAAGGTTGTTAATGAGTCTTTCTCCAATCCTGATGCCTCATTCTACTTCATATAGGCTAGCTTCTTGGATGATTTGTTCAGCATACAGATTAAATAAGTATAGTGACAAATACAATCCTGATTCTAATTCTTTCTTGATTATAACTCACTCCATATCCCCTTGTTCCGCTCAAACAACTATCTCTTGGTCTATGTATAGGTCCCACATGAGGACAAGTGAGTGTTCTGGAATTTCCTTTCTTCACAATGTTATCCATAGTTTGTTATGATTCATACAGTCAAATGCCTTTGCATAGACAATAAAACACAAGTATTATTAACCCCATTTTACAGATGGGGAAAATTAAGATCAAATAACTTACCTTTTCCAAATATGGTGCCATGATTTGAACCATGGTCTTTCCACTATAAAATATTATTTCCTTTATCCTGACAAGATGGTCATGAGGTCATTTTTAATCCTAAAGAATAAGCTAAACGGCCTCTATAGAACAAGGTTCTTCTTAACATCGCCTTCTTACATCTTTCTACTATTCTGACAGCTCTCTCTTTCTGGATCCACCTTCAGGAAAGCCTTTATCCACCAGGGTTCACACCTTTCCTTTTGGGGTGTAACATTGGTAGCGCTACTGTGTGGTAGCTGAGAACCTGGGCTGTGCTGTCAGTCTCATGAACAAGGATCCTAGCACATGACATACTAGCTCAATTATCTCCTTTTAAAAATGGGAATTATAGTAGTATCTACCTGTAACACAGCTTAGAGATTTAAATGGGATAATATACAAAGGTAAGTCACAAAATATTACTACTAGGTTTCCAGTTAATACATGAACAGATTTATTCCAAATAAAATGCCTTCAAACATGTCTCTGTGATCAGTGAATGCCTACACACAAGCTCTCAATAATACATTAATATAGTGCCTTAGTCTCATTGAAGAGGCCTTCAAAAAAAACCAAGATCCAATCAAAAGAATGGCTTCCAAGGGAGCATGCTGGGCCAGTTAAATTCAAGGCTGAGAGGTCAGCTCAGAAGGTGATGCTCACATTTTATGGAATCCCAAAGGAGTGAAGCCTCCATTGACACACAGGTGATAACTATGTGTAGGTGCCTGGGCCAGGAATCAAACCCAGGACTTCTACATGGAAGGCAAGAACACTACCATTGACCCACCACTGCACAAGTGTGGGACTATAGGATCAGCACAGGCTACTACCCACAAGGTAGACAGTTGAAACCCACCAGCCCCTCCTCGGAAACCCTATATAGGGTTGCTGTGAATTGGAACCATATCGACTGCACTTAACAACAACAAAGGGATAAACTTGATACATTTTCTTGAAGGACAAAGAACATTCACGGGGGCTTATTATTATGAAGTTTTGAAAACTGCATTATGAGAAAAAGGCCAGCAAAGTTCTACGTGGACATTTTTTGTCCATCATTATAGTGCACCTGCTCATTCTTTGAGGGTAGCAAGGACTGTGCTATAGGAATTTCATTAGAAAACCTTACCCCATCCAACCTAATAGCTCTGCTCTTACCCCTTCAGGCTTTTTTTTTTAATCCCAAACCTCAGCCTTTCAAAGGAACATGATTAGAGTGCCTTAAGGATATTGTTGTGAAGTGATATACATCAAAGAGTGTATAATTCCTTGAGTATGGTTTAGAGATGGAAACACCACCATCAAAACTGCACAGACTCAAAGGGTGGATATGTCAATAAATAATAGCTTCACATTATGATGTTTTTGTTTAATAAAGGTTTATATGATATTGCCCACCACTCATCTGTCAGTTTGTCTATTGTGGTTGCTTGCATCTTGTTGTGATGCTGGAAGCTTTGCCACAGGTAATTTAAATACCAGCAGAGTACACATATGGTGGGAAAGTTTCACCTGAGTTTCCAGACTAAAGCAAAGTAGGAAGAAAGAAAAGCAGGCTATTTGTGACTGTTTAGACACTGAAAACTTTATGAATAGCAGTGGAACCCTGTCAGCTAGCACCACAATATTGAATATTGAAACATGAGAAATAGCACCAAAATATTATCAGACATAGTACAAAAATATGAGTCCCTTCAGGTTGGAAGACACTCAAAATGCAACTGAGGAAGAGCTGCCTCCTCAAAGTAGAGTCGACTGTGATGATAGGAATGAAACAAAGCTTTGGGGACCTTCATTTGCTGATAGGACACAACTCAAAATGAACTATACTGTCCATTAATAATCCAAACATGTAACGTAGGAAGTATGAATCTAGGAAAACTGGTAGTTGTCAAAAATGAAATAGAATCCATAAAGATAAATGTCCTAGGCATTAGTGAGCTGACATGGACTGCTATTGGCTATTTTGAATCTGACAACCGTATGGCTTACTATGCCGAGAATGACATATTGAAGAGGAATGGCATCACATTCATCATCAAAAAGAACATTTCAAGATCTATCATGAAGTATAATGGTCTGTGATAAGATATGCCTACAAGGAACACTGGTTAATACAATTATTATTCAAATTTATGTACCAACCAGTAAAGATAGTAATGATGAAATTGAAGAATTCTACTTCTTCAATCTAAAATTGATCAAATATACAGTCAAGATGTATTGATAATTCCTGGTGATTGGAATGCAAAGGTTGGAAACAGGAAGGATCAGTAGTTGGAAAATAGGCCTTGGTTATAGAAATGATACTGCAGATGGTATGACAGAAGATACAGTACCTTCATTGCAGATACCTTTTTTAAATGACGTAAAAGACATCTATGCATGTGGACCTCACCAGATGGGATACATGGAAATCAAACTGACAATATCTGCGAGAAGATTCAGTGGAAAAGTTCCATATCATCAACCAAAACAAGGCCAGGGCAGATTGGAACAGACCATCAGTTGCTCATATGCAAGTTGAGGCTGAAGCTGAAGTAAATTAAAACAAGTCCACAAGAGCAAGAATTTGAACTTGAACATATCCTACCTGAATTTATAAATAATCTCAAGAACAGATTTGACGCATTAAACACTAATGACTGAAAACCGGAAGCATTGTGGGATGCAATCAACAACATCATACAGGAAGAAAGCAAAAAGTCATTTAAAAGACAAAAAAAAAAAAAGGAAAATATCAAAATGGATGTCAGAAGAGACTCTGAAACTTGCTCCCCAGTGTAAATATGGTAAAGCAAATGGTAGAAATGAGAAGGCGAAATTGTTGAACAGAAAATTTCATAGGGACACTCAAGAAGACAAAGTCAATATTATAATGAAATGTGCAAAGACCCGGAATTAGAAAACCAAAAGTAAACAACACACTCAACATTTCCCAAGCTGAAAGAAAAGAAGAAAATATTCAAGCCTGCACTTGCATTATTAGATGACCACCATGGACAAAATATTGAGTGATATAGAAAGCATCAAAAGAAGATGGAAGGAAGACAGTCACTGTATCAAAAAGAAATGTGTGGTGTTCCACCATTTCAAAAGGTAGCATTTGATCAAGAGTCGGTGGTACAGAAGGGAGAAGTCCAAGGTACACTAAAGGTATTAGCAAAGAACAAGGCTCCAGGAATTGAAATCCTTCAACAAAATGATGACAGCACAGGATACACTTACTCTTCTATGCCAAGAAATTTGGAAGACAGCTACCTGGACAACTGATTGGAAAAGATCCATATTTGAATCCATTCCAAAGAGAGGTGGGGATCCAACAGAATGTGGAAATTATCAGGCAATGTGATTATTATCACATG